ACCACCACCACCACCACCATTTCCAGCGCTGAGAACAATAACGTTGTCACACCGTCAGCTCACTAACCAGTTACACCACAACCACCATCACTTCGCCATCACCAACACCACCATCTCTACCATCATCACTAACGCCGCCGCCACCATCCCCGCAGGCGTAGCCCAGCCCCAGACAGAGGGGGCATGAAATATCCCTTTAGCGGAATGTGAGCCTGCAGTTTGTTCCTCGGTCTGCTTTGTGTGTGTGTGTGTGTTTCGCATCCACGCATAGACCAGCAGTGCATACGTTGAAACACACAAATATATTTTGGACCTTTACTGCCGAACAGGACGTCACCAGAGGGCATAGGTGTCCAATTTCATACACACGCACAAGAGGAACTCGTCAATTTACTCCTGCAGAATGCAGTGTTCACTTCGCAAAGTACATAAAAGGGTGTACGTGGGGGGGGGGGGGGGAACTCTTGCCGAAAGTGCAATGTGACGGGAAATGTTTGACCCTCAGCGCGCCAGTGATGCGCGCATTGATCAATTTAATAGCTGCCGGTAGCACTGTGCCATCGCAATCATCCGGTTGAATGCCGATGGCGACAGAGCCGACTGCAAACAAACGTCGTAGACTTCTGAATTTTATTACCAACCAGGACAAGGGAGACTGGAATGGCCATTTCTGGCTTCTTAGTCGTCGTCAGCCAGTCATGCCCGATCCCGAAGTGTGGAACACCTGGAACTCGAACTTGCGACCTGCTAGTCAGAAGTCCAACGCTTCTAAGCGCTGAGTCACGGGCTCGTTGTCTTGTTGGTTGCGATCGGAAATATACAGTGGTAGAGGGGGAGCCCATCGATCGTCCCGTTGGGTCTTACGGATTCTCCATCGGTTGGAATTAGGACAGCTCAGCCACATCACAAAACTCCCCATCCTCGTGTTTGAGGCAGCGTTAGATGCTTTTGTCCCTCTAGCAGGCGGCTGAAGAAGCCGCATTCCTAAACAACAAATGGCGGTTACAGTTTCCAGAAGTGTAACGGCATAAACAGTAACCAGGTTCTTTTTTAAAAGAAGACGAAGGCACGATCACTGGGCCGGTAGATTTATTGGCCTTAGCTTTCGAACTCGAACTGGAGTTCATCATCAGAGACTGCTAGAGTGCAACAACGTATGAACATTTATATGGTTTTTCCTTGTGGGGGGAAGGGGGAAGATTACGTCCGTGGCTTGGTCTGGCTTGTGCCGCCTGGTCCACAATGGTTCCCCGGCGTGGTGACGGCGTTTGTACTTCGCGACGTTATGAGCTGCGCCACCTGGCTGCAGGTTGTCACTTACGGATTAATTTTCCGTTAAAAAAAATCAGTGGGGCTCGGAAACGCAGTCCTGCTCGGTCAACATTTTTCTCCTTTTCTTACTCTCATGGATTCCGGAAGGTGTTGTACTGCTAGAGAATTTTCTCACTTTGCGGGGCTTCGCAAACTGCTGCGGTTATAATTCAAGATGACGCTTGCGGTCTCGCATAACAGGAGGATTAGGGTTCGGGTAAGGGTTAGTATTTATAGTTAAGGCTAGCGTTTTTAGTTTACGTTAGTGTTTAGGGCTAAGGTCAGAGTTAGGATAAAGGTTGAGATTAAGGGTTGAGGTTAGGATTTAGCGTTAGGATTCGGAGTTAGGCTTGGGACTTAGGGGTTAAGTTTAGGTCTATGATTTAGCGCTAGGATGAGGATTAACGGCTAGAGTTAGAGTAAGGATTCAGGTTCACGTGTTTTTATTTGGAACTAGTGTTGGGATTAGGATTTTTAGGTCTGGGGTTCGGAGTTAGGATTCAGGTTTAGGGTTAGAGTTTAATGTCGGGATTTAGGGCTAGGATTAACCTAGGGGTATGGATTTAGTTTATTTGGCACCCACTTCCTACAACCTTCCTCTAGGTGCTCGGTTTGATTGGCCACCCTCTCAGGCGGTTCAGTTTCGATCCCCTTGACAGGCCAATCATCACTGTTTCTAGCGGAATTAGTTTTTACTGGTTGCTTACAACGAAATTTTGTATCAGTTACGGATCAATTTCCTGTAAAAAATTCTTATACTTCTGTCTGCAGATAAAGGACTTTCGGAACCAACGAACACAGACTAGATCCCTCGGAGTAAGTTTGGATAACATTAACATAACAGACAGCATGCGCGGGAACCCACTAAACGTTGACCAATAGTTTGCAACACACTGCCAATTGGAGGAGTTCACCTAGGTGAGTTTGTAGAACAGATTTACAAATTGACTTTCAAACAGACTTGCATCTCTCCAGTCATCTGTGTTGATGTGGCTAGAAAAAAGGTCGTTTCCTAAATAATACACGCATTTTTCTTAAAGTTATGGTGTTTTGAATACCCTAAGCAATACGTCATATAAAGAATGCGTGAAAAACTCCATTTCTCAAATCTATTTTATGAAATGTTGTCTCACTCTCAAGTTTATGGTCTCAAGTTTTATACTGAAGGAAAAGGTCTTTCTCGGTTCCATACGCACCCACATGCCATATTCCATGAACACCAGAGGGCTTATATGGGCTTAGTTTAAGCCAACTATTTAGGCTATCGTCTGGAAAATTTCGCGCATTCATCCTTTACAACTAGGCTGGGTCGGATGTGGTTTGGTAGCCCCATCTGAAGCAAACAAACCCCAGTCACCTGTAATACAGGACCGGTGGTAATAGGGGTTTATACAGGTGGGGCCGGAGAAGGCATAGGCGACGAATTCAAGCAGTTGTATGCGAAAGAAAAGTTATTGGGAATGCGCGGTTGGACTTTTTATGGTTGGGAAATAGTTGCGCTAACCCCTAACCCTGACCCTTAACTTTAACCCCTCATTCCTAACCCCTAACTCTAAACCCTAACCCTTGACCTCTTACCTTAACCCCAACCCCAACACTCTCGTGTCCATCAGGTGGGGCTACCAAACCACATCTTACCCAGGGCTGATTTTACCAGACAATTCTGCCTATACTACTAACTGCTGTGCGACCGCCGGCTTGGATCTAGATCAAGATCAAAAGCACAATGGGACAAGCAGGCCACGTAACTCGGTCGTTGAACGCACTTCCAACGTATGCATACACATGTCGGAAAACATTCATCCCAAAAAATTGATTAAAAATGGGTGAGACTCAGTGTACGTTTTGAACCAGGGGTGTGATGGTACGCCTAGGTGCGGGTTTTCGACACACCAGCCACCTGCCCTCACTCCCGCTTTCGATCTTCTTGATTACCTTGACACCGACCCCAGGCAGGGAAAGGAGGAAGGAATGAGATAAATGCTGCACAAGTATACTATCGCTTTAACTCACGCGTAGGTCACCGTCCCTGCTCTCACCCCGTTGTAAATCACACGGCGGACGTCAACGGTAACAATGGTCGAGCTGTCGGTGAGCGTCTAGGTCAACATGGCCTTAGGTGTTATCCGCACTGAAATATCAAGCCTCGAGGAATTTCGGGGCCTGTTTGGTGTTAGGCATGGCGATGACGGCCAAGGGAGTGTGCAGACATGAAAAACAAAGGGGTCACGTCGGGGGAAGTCCAGTTTGTGTTTGTTAATTCGAGTCCTCAAGTCCTCATGGACCGACAAAGTAGGAGCCTTGCGTCTGGCGGAGCATGAATGTGTGAAGGTAGTTTGAAGTAGATACTGCACAATCTCTCTCCTTTTTTATCAGAATCAGCTTCCAATCGCAACTGCCTCTTTAGGTCGGACGAACACGGCATCGAATTCTCTGATTTGCTGACTTTCGCTGACAGCTGCCTTATATTCGGCATTTTCCATTTCTAGATTTTAAACTGAAAAGGCTATGGGGACAACGATAAACAATCAAGAAAAACAGGACAATGTGTCTGCCGGGCTGAATGAACCACCAGGCCTCCGGAAGATCAACTTCTGCCAACATTACCGTCTCCAGCTCTGGAAGAGTTTTCTCCTTCGAAGTCGTCAGCCTTTTTTCCTCATCTCCGAGCTCCTCCTACCCCTCCTCCTTCTATTTGTTCTCATTGGAATGCGGCATGCTGAAGAACCCACCGTCCATCCGCCCTGCCACATCACCCCCCAACCCCTGTCCAGCATGGGCTTTCTCACATACCTACGTTCCCTCATCTGTAGCTCAAATCTCACCTGTACAGCCTACAATGATGACCCACCACCTGGCGACCTTTTTGGCCTGCCCCATTGGCTGCTCGATCTCGCCAATCTCAGCCAATCAGATTCGAGCAACTTTGCAGATTTACCCCTGACCGCTCAGTCAATGTCTGTGGAAACTTTGGTCAAAAGCCTTGAGCAAGCTAGAACCGGAGGTAACGAGTCAGCCCTAGCAACCACCCTGGACTTCATTGACGCTCTTGGTTGCGATGAGAAGACCTTTAGTCTGTTGTCTGCCATCACATCGCAGCGGCAGTTGACAACGCTGGCCAGAGCCTACTGCCTCTTGCCGGTCAGTTTGAGACGGTTCCTGCGCAGTGGCCTAGGTGGCCGCCTTTCAACCGCTGATGACAATCCTTTTGCCTTTACTGATGACCTCATCGACGCATTCAATGTCTTAGCAAACGCGCGCTCGTCCGCCCAGACACGCAACATGTCTGCGCTGCTGGAGGCCGTGAAACGCGTCTCTATCCCCGTCTGTGGCAGTCGTCCAGGGCAGAACGACTTCCTCAACCTGGCGGATTTCTTGGCCTCACAGAGCACGAAACTCCCAGTGGGCAGCTCAAAGGCTAGCACCTCTACTCTTAGTCAGTATCTTGGCGACATCCCCACAAATGCTACAGCCTGTCCCACCCTCAAGGCCATCTTTGCTGTCGAACCGATGCGCCCATGGACTCTGCGACTGCAAACTCTGATGCAGGGCCGCATTTTGTACCATCCTGTCACACCGCTTACCCAGCGAATCGTCAGCGGAGCCAATCAGACGACGAGGATGTTCAAACGCCTCAAGGTCGCCTCCGGTGTATGGGTGAACATGGAGGCTGAAGTTCTGCCAAAGATATTTGTGAATAGCACCCTGGTCAGGCAACTGCGTAGACTGGCTGCCGTCTGTTTACTCTTACCCAACCAGCCGGCAAACGTAACCGAGAGTTGCCGCCGTCTAAAATACTTTCTGCAAGAGGACAAACGACCACCGACTGAACCGGACGCAAACACCACGTCCTATCTCCATTGGTCTGACTTGATTGAACCAATCGCAGCCCTTAGCGCCGCGGTGGACAACATCCTCTCCAGCTGCATCAATTATGATCGTTTTGTTGGCTACTCTAATTCCACTTTGATGGAAGAGACGGCGCAGAACCTTAGTGCTGCGGGCCGGCCCGTGATGATGTTGTTTTTTGATGAGGCACCAGCCACTTCTGCTAATCTGACCGACTTCAATTCCACCCTCCTAATTACTCGTTTTCGCCTGCCTTCCTCTGTTGTGGACTCGACCCGCAAGTTCAAGGTCCTCGACAAATATTGGACCCCCTCGCCACGAAATCGGGTCAGGGACTCGATGAAGTACTTCACAAGTGGTTTCATTGATGTGCAGGAACAGATTGCACGCTCCTACATCAGAATTGTTGGTGGCCAGGAAACTTATGCGAACGGGAGCGATCTCTACTCGAATCTCCTGCTCCCGGTGGAAATGAAATTTGTACCCGGTCCCTGTTACCAGGTGGATCCAATGTTGACTACATTTGCATCTAATCTGCCCACCATCGTCGTCATTATTTGGATCTGCACTGTGGTCTTTGCTGTGCGTGCCATCGTCTACGAGAAGGAGTGTCGACTGAAAGAATTTACTAAGGTAATGGGTATGAACAACCTGGTGCATTGGCTGAATTGGTGGACGGTCAGTTGTGTTTTGATGGGCATCTCCAGTCTCTGCGTAGCCCTGATGCTCAAATTCGGAGGCATTTACCCCAACTCCGACTTCTTCTTGGTTCTCTGCTGTCTTCTCGCTTACCTCTGGGCCATCATTCCACAGGCTTTCTTTGTCTCCGTCTTCTTCACCAAAGCCAACTTCGCTGCGGTAGTCTCGGGCATATTTTACTTCGTCATGTTCATACCCTACTCCTTCGTCCTCTTATACGACCTCGACTACGTACAGTCATCTGTGATATCCCTTTGCCCACAAGTGGCCCTGGCGCTGGCCTTCACTCGCCTGGGAGGTTTAGAGAGGACGGGACAGGGCGCGCAATGGAACAATCTGTGGGGCACGGAGCTCACTAATGAGCCATTTACGCTTGGAAACTGTCTAGTGATGTTGTTGATCGACGGCCTTCTAGCCTTGCTCTGTACGGCCTACCTAGAGGCCGTCTTACCGAGTACCTACGGCGTTCCCCGAAAGTGGTACTTTCTTTTCACTGGAACCTTCTGGAAGGTTGTCTGTGGCAAGTGTTGCCGCAGTCGCACCAAAAGAAACAAAGACTTTGGCGTGGGGGGTGGTGAGCTTCCGCCATCGTCGTCGTCACTGTCCTTGTCGTCATCCTACGCGCTGCCGCAAGCAGCACCACCGTCTCAACAAACCTACGATCAGTTCCACGAACCTCCGCCAGACAAACATTCCGTTGGCGTATCGATCCGTGGTCTCACAAAGACCTACCGCGGAGGGAAACAGACGGCCGTCAACAATTTGTGGGCCGACTTCTATGAGGGTCAAATCACCTCCTTCCTGGGTCATAACGGAGCTGGCAAGACCACAACTATGTCAATTCTCACTGGCATCTATCCGGCCTCCAGTGGAGACGCTTATATTTGCGGCAAAAATATCAGGACGGAAATGTCAGCCATCCGAACGTTTCTGGGTCTCTGTCCTCAACATAACATCCTCTATGATCGCTTAACCGTGAGGGAACACCTCGTCTTCTACGGTTCGATTAAGGGTCTATCGAAGGAAGAGTTGGCAGAGGAGACAAATGCCTTCCTTCAGCAGCTGGACCTCGTAGACAAGGCAGACGACCTGAGCCAGAGTCTCTCTGGTGGTCAAAAGAGGCGCCTCTCTCTGGCAGCAGCCTTCATTGGTGGCTCCAAAATAGTGTTCCTGGACGAACCCACAGCAGGCGTAGATCCACACTCTCGACGGTCTATCTGGCAGTTAATTCTACGCTTCCGGGCGTCGCGCACCATCATTCTGACCACACATCACATGGACGAGGCGGATGTCCTTGGCGACCGCATCGTCATCATTTCACAAGGTCACCTCAAGGCCAGTGGATCGAGTCTGTTTCTAAAGTCAAACTTTGCCAAATCATATTACCTCACTGTGGAGAAGGCTACAGAGGAGAAATCGCGGCTGATGCTGTCTGCTGAAGAGGTGGATCGACAGTTGATGGAATGTCTGGCTGGTCAGTTGCCAGGCGTTCAGCTGATCACCTCCAACCCAACTGAATGGATGTTCGCTCTGCCTGCCCAGCATGCTTTAGACGGTGGATTTGCTGACTTTTTCGCCTTTTTGGACTCCCACCGGACGGAATTTCGCGAACGCTTTGGTTTCGCACATTATGGCCTTTCTGATACTACCCTAGAGGAAATATTTCTTCTCCTCTCCGAAGACCCCAGTGAGGCCATGTGCCTCCTGTTAGCTGAGAGTGGAGCTAAGGGCCACTTGAGACTGCGTGGCCGTCGACGCCGTCACTGGGGTCGAGGACGTCTAGGTCCTGTCGAAAGTCCTCCGGTCGAGACAAGGCAGCCGGATGAGGAGTCGACTGAGCAGCAGGAGGAGCAGACTTACATCGGCAGTAGCAATCAAAGTCCCTCACTGGATATGCGGTTCGTGCCTCCCACCGTCCAACCCCTCAAAGGAGTCCGCCTTTGTGCGCAGCAGATGAAAGCCTGTCTGACGAAGCGTCTGCGTTACGTGCAGCGAAGCAAACGTGGCTGGTTTCTGGAGATGGTCCTTCCCGTGTGCACAGTTCTCATCCTCATGGCAGTGACAATAAGCTATCAAGTTGCGAACGAGGAGCCCAACATGCCGCTTCATCCCTGGCTCATGGCTGACACAGCAAATCCACCCCAACTGCGCACCTTCTACTCGACAAATGTCTGGGCGACGAACTCCACCGAGCAGGATGGCAATGGTAGTAGTAGTCAGTCTGCCATCTCTGACATACGCCGAGTCTCCCAACTCTATGCTGACCACGTGCTCTCTCGAACCGGTTGGTCTGGTGCTAAATGCCTCCCCTCTAGCGTTTACAAGTTCATACCCTCCAAGTTTGCTGGCTGCTCGGACTCATTCTTCCCTCCGAAGAGTGGTGTTTTCAGACTGACTACTGCTCAGTTAGAAAAGGTTCTGACCTCTGCGAACCGCACTTGCTCCTGTACCAGCGACGGTCGTTTCATGTGTAACCTAGAGGCGGTGGGTGGATTTGAACCACCAATCTGGCCACTGGCCACTTCGAACATCCTCTACAACCTCACCGGTTATAATATCTCCGACTACCTTCTCAAAACGCAATTTAGTTCCATTCTCAGGCGCTATGGTGGCCTAGATATTGTGGCTGTCAAAGATCCCGCTCGTATTGGTGCTGCGCACGCCTTCTTGGCCAATCAGACGCGAGTCGCTCACATCCTGGATGCCCTCTTCGAGGATGATCGCATCACCCAGTTGGGGCTGGATCTTGCCGACATTCTGCGGCTGAACCTCCCGCCCACGCATTTTGCTCGCGTTTGGTACCATAACAAGGGCTATGTTGCAAGTGTCGCCTATCTAAACCTCCTACACAACCTTCAGCTGCGGATGCTGCTTCCACAGGGTCCTGTAGGTAGACGAGCAAGAGCGAGAGGCGTGGAGTATTCTGATTTTGCCATCGTTGCATCCACGCACCCAATGGCCCAGCGGAAGCTGCAGTTCGATGGTTTTGATAGCTCCCAACTCTTCTCAATGATGATTGAGCTGTTGAAATCCGTTGGCACTATTCTTGCGCTTTCTTACGTGCCCTCCAGTTTCGTCATCTTCCTCATCCGTGAGCGCTGCGTGGGTTCGAAGAGTCTCCAATTCATGTCAGGTCTGAATCGCACCATATACTGGCTCTCAACCTACATCTGGGATGTGTGCAACTTCCTTGTCCCCGTGATTATTATTGTTATCATCTTCCTAGCCTTTAACGAGGAGGCCTATGTGGGTAGAGACAGTGTGGGTGGCTTCATCGCGATAATGGTGATATTTGGCGTCTGTGTCATTCCCCTCATGTATCTCTTCACTTTCGTATTCCGTGTGCCAAGTCTGGCCTTTGTGGTTCTGCTGGCTGCTAATCTGATGATCGCCGTGGTCACTTCCATGACTGTGTTCATGATGGAGATGGCTCAGGCTGATAACGACTCTATACGGGCGGCTGCTGATGTTCTGAAGAAGGTCTTCCTCGTCTTCCCCCAGTACGCTTTCAGCAGGGGCTTCTACGACCTGTCCTTTCGGCATACCATTCGTAGCTTGAAGCTAGACAATCTCTTTGAGACCGATGTCTTCGCCTGGGACATGCTCGGCTGCAAGATCGCTAGTCTGCTTTTGGAGGCTGTCCTCTTCTTTGGCTCAGTACTCGCCGTTGAGTACAACTCAGTCAGGTGCCAGTGTCGCAGGCGACAAGACGTGTCTGCCACCGCTATGGTCTCCTCCGTGGAGGGGTGGATGGAACATGATGTGATGGAGGAGCGTCTGCGCGTCTACCAGGTGAGTTGGTTTCTTGGAGAACGTTTACTTTTTTACCCGGTGATTTTTGTAAATTAGGGGCTGTTTTTAAGAGTCAAGTAGCTCTAGTAAACTCTTCCAGACTTCTAGGACCAGGACTAGGGATTGCAGATTAGCCAGGAAGGACCTTTCCGGCCTCGTTCGCTTTTCTCAAGAGGGTTTGTTTCCTGAAATAATACTATTATAAGCGTCGGCAGTAGCTCTTTTTTACTATCGACATTAGCCGTTGAAGTGTTTTGGGGTGATCCTATGCCTGATGATGGCATAGACGTTAGAAATGACAATTCCCATGCTCCAGCATACTGCATACTTCATGTCTATACATGTTCCCGGACATAAATGAGAAGAAAAAGCGATCTCGGGAACCATAGTTTTACTGTCATGACGTTTCAAAAGCATACAAGCTTCCATCGTCGGAGGTGAGTGTGGTATCGCGCCTCACAGTATTCATAAGTGGGTGACAGTCATGTCAAGACGGGTTTTTTACATATGAAGTCAGGGCGGCAGGAGGGGGGGGGGGTTCTTTCGCCGGATGAGGGGGTGGGGGGGTGATAGATCAGCTTTAGTGGTCGCCAACCGCATGCACACATGGACTGTGGCGGACGGGGGGGGAGGGAGGGTGACGGAATGTACTCAATTTACATCGGAGGCCGGCGTTGAGACGTTTGTGGTCGTCGTTCCTACCTTCATTGACCGTAGCTGTTGTCCTAGGCTGGCAATTTTGTTTACGCCGCAACGACTGTCCGTTTTCTCGTCCGCCGAACTATTAGATGGACCGGCTGTGGTGAAGACTGCGCCTTCAGCGGAACCATGTTGAGGGGTGGCTGAGTGTGTATCACCCGTGCTCTCGCTCATGTCTGGATTCATGTTTGGCCTGGGTTCACGTCTGTTCATTTGTTTACTGAGCTGCGCTCGAAGGGCTTGATAGGCAGCGGGAAGAGCCACACAACTGTTGATGGAGTTTCTCCCCATGTGCCAAGCCTCGATTGTCTCCCTGGCTATGCGATCGTTTCCTCGGCCCAGAATTTCGGCATACTGAAAGACGAACGTGTGTCCGGAATCGGCGCAGTATTCGGCCACCAGAGACAAAGGGTCCATTCGCCTTACTGCCCACATGTGTTCTCCAACACGGGTCTGTAGCCGTTTGCAGGTCTCTGCAATGTAGTTTACTTCGCAGGGGTTATAACGGATCCGGTAGATGACGTTCGTGGTTTCACCTAGTGGCAGAGGGACCTAAGGTCTCATGACCAGATGTCGAATTGTTGACTCCGGTCGGTGGGCGATGCCGATCCCCAGCGGTCTTAAGAGACGCGAGACAGCCTCAGAAACGCCGTCGATGTATGGAAGCGCCCGCCATATTGTTGGTCGTTCTGTCACCAAACGTCGGCTCGGTCCGGCCTGTCTGCTGCTTTCGATGAAGTTGCGAGGATACATGTTGGCCATGAAGAGGCGCTGGAGGTAGCGTAGTTCTGACCGTCTGTCTTCCGGCTCGCTGCAGTGTGTTTTAGCCGTTCTGTAGAGTGTTCACACACAACTGCTTTTGTGGCCTAACGGGTGCTTACTGTGGAAGCTCAGGATTTGTCGCGTATTAGTGGCCTTCCGATATACCGTCGTTTTGAGGTGCCCATTTGGTTTTCGATGGACGAGAACGTCCAGGAACGGCAGTTGGTTGTTGGCTTCCGCCTCCATTGTGAACTGGATGTCAGGGAAAACAGAGTTCAGGACATCATGGAATTCTTGGACCATTTGCAGCTCAATGATGACGGAGGTATCATCGATTTATCGAGTCCGAAATTTCGGCTTATAGGTTGCGAAAACTAGGGTCTCTACTTTTTGGAGAACTGCCTCTGCGATGAAGCCCGAGAGTGGCGATCCCATTGGCTTCCCCTTGACCTGCTCGTAGGTCGTACCTTCGAAGGTAAAGTACGTCTTCAGGCAGCATCTCAGAAATTGGACGAGATGTCTCCGTTTTACCGTCACGCCCGTCTGGTCGTACTGACTCTCGAGCAGCTCGCTGACCGTTTCGACTGCCGGGTCTTGCGGAATCGAAGTGAAAAGAGAGGTGACGTCGAATGACACCATGACCTCGTCTTCGGCATGTCTCATCCCTTTGATCCGCCCCAGGAACTGAGTCGCTGAACAGACCGTCGTGCCCGCGTCTGAGGTGAGAGACCTCAGGTTTCGAAACAGCCATTTAGCCAAATTAAATGTAGGTGTGCCGCGCAATGATACGACTGGCCGGAGGGGGACCCCGGCTTTGTTTACCTTTGGTAGTCCGTAAAACCTTGGTGCGGCCGCGTCTTTTGGCTTAATGACCATTCATACCGATTTACTTATTGCCTTGCTCGTTGGCATGTCGGCGAGGGTCTTGTCCAGTTGCGTCACCAGCTTTCTCATCCGTTCATCGTTGCATGGTAGGTACGCTCGTCGGTCCTCCAGTAGGGCATTGGCCTTCTGAATATAGTCTGCCTTATCCATCACAACTGTGGAACGCCCTTTGTCTGCTGGTAGAATCACGATGCTGGTGTCAGCCCTCAGTGTCCTTAGAGCACTCTGCTCGGCCTTGGTGATAGTTGCACGCGGTTTGTGCGCCATCGCCAAGGTGGTTACCTGCTGTCGAATGAGTTGCTTTGTTTCGTCCGATTCCCCGGTTTGTTTGAGAATCGACTCTACCGTGGCCGCGAGATTTACTGGATCGGCGTCTGTGGTGTTGTTGCATGCCTCATGACTCAGCACTTTCCTTTGTGCAGGAGTCAGCTGCTTAGAGGACGTATTGTGCACCAGGACTTCCTTCTCCTCTTGAGATGATTGGCTTATGCTTTGGAGCTTGACCGCCAGCTCGGCATCTCTCGTTGCTCGCAGGTTCCGGGCCCGTTTATTAATCACTTGTCGCAACTGCGTGACTCCGTCCTCACCGATGAGTTCGACGCACTTTGTAACCGCCTGACTTAAAACCCTGTATTCATGTGTAAAAAACCCGTCTTGACATGACTGTCACCCACCTATAAATAATATGAGGCGCGATACCACACTCACCTCCGATTATGGAAGCTTGTATGCTTTTGAAACGTCAGGACAGTAAAACTATGGTTCCAGAGATCGCCTTTTCTTCTCGTATATAAATATGTATATCTATCCTTCATCATCCCCAAAAGAAGACGAATAAAATAAAGGGGTGATTGCACGGATCACACTGTATTGGTGCTGACGTTTCGGAAACTTCCTCGTTTCTATCATCAGAGTGGTGGGGTGTCTGTTCCTGCTGGCTCCGAGTTGTTCTGTCTCGCCGCCTGTCTTGTGTTATAGGCATGCCTGACGCACGAACTCTGACCTGCCTTCGGGCTGGTGATTGGCTTTGGTCCCTCCGCGGGCGGCCGATAGCACGCTCCTATGACCCCTGCCCCCTGACCGGCTGTCGTAATCGCTGCAAATCCTGTGTGCCCTCCCCTCATAATCGGATGGGCTGACCAGCTGTCGTTGCATGTGCGAATCACGCTCGGCTGTTTGGGCGCGCCGGTGGGTCGATGTCTTGGTCGTGTGACCTCCGGCTGGCTATTTCCCCCTGTTGTGAAGGTGATAACTGCTGGAAGAGCCCCGACTCGTTCGCCAGTACTGTTGGCCTCGTCTGGACTGAGTGGAACCTTGTGCGTAGCGCCTGGTAGGCCGGATGAAGATCAATAGCCCTGTTGATTGTACCAATTGAGGACCAGTTTTCGAGCACCAGTCTAGCCATCTTGTCATAAGCTCGACCGAGGATGCTTGCTCCCCCAAAGGCGGAATCGTGTTTCTCCTGTTGCATGTGGCCATTTACCGGTGACAGTTTATCCTCGCGGTTGACTGCAAGCTGGTGCTCATGCAGTCTTGCGCAGAGTCGTTTCCGCGTTTCACCAACATACCTCGAATTGCAATTTTTGCACGGTATGCTGTAGACCTCTGCTGATTGTTCCGTTGCCGGTAGCGGGTCTTTGGGTCTCAGTATCTGCTGTCTGATGGTGGATTCCGGTTTATGGGCCACCCCAATCCCAAAAGCTGTCTCTTCGGAAGCATTCCTCAGGTTGGGGGTCGCAAGCCAAAACTTCGGCTTCTCACCGTCTTGTCGCTGACGGGTAGACTTTCGTCGGCACTCACGTATGAAGGATCGCAGATAACCATTGGCTGTGAATAAAGAATGTAGGTATTTTGCCTCCTTTTTCCCGTCGTCGTCGCTATAGTGTGTTTGAACTCGTTGGAAGAGAGTTCTCACACAACTTCGCTTGTGACCAATAGGGTGGTTACTTCGGAATGGGAGGATGCGTCTAATATTCGTCGCCTTACGGTATACCGTAGTTATTATCCTCCCACTAACCGTCCTTGCAACATTCACGTCAAGAAAGGGCAATTGGTTGTTGTTCTCCTCTTCCACTGTAAATTGGATGTCGGAGAATATTGAGTTCAGAAAGACCTTGAAGTCCTGAACGTCGTTCCTCTTGATTGCGACAAATGTGTTGTCGACATATCTGGCCCAGAATTTTGGGAAGTACGAACGGAAGACCAGTCGTTCTAGCCACTGCAGAAACGCCTCAGCAATCAACCCAGACAGGGGGATCCCATCAGTGTTCCCTTCTTCTGCTTGTAAACCCGGTCGCTAAAAGTGAAGAAAGTTCTGAGGCACAATCCCAGGAGTTCAGTGATGTGTGTTCGCCTAAGTTGTTGATCAACTTCAGCGTATTTTTCCTGAAGAAGTTTCTCAATTGTGCTGATGGCGAGGCCGGTTGGAATGGACGTGAATAAGGAGACCACGTCAAACGATACCATCATCTCATCTGGTTCTATTTCTAGATTTCTGATGCTTCTCAGGAATTCTTCAGCCGACTTTACCGTCCATTCCGAGCCCTCTATTTCCGAAACAGAAGACCAAGAGCTTCTAAGAATTCGGAAGATGAGGGATATCGTCACCCTGCCCGCCCACAAGGGGCGCTCGACTGTTGTCATGCATAAGACCGATTACACGACGAAACTGCAAAGTCTGTTGGAGGACGAAGGTTTTTATTTAGTCGTCATTAAACGCAGCATTTCTGTTCATTCACTGCTGTCGAAAGTAATGTACCTGCCGGGGTAGTTCAACCCTTCTCAATCTCATTCGGTCGAAGTGGTTTGATCTAAACTCTTGGTTGGCGCCAGGTCGAGTTACGATGAAACTGTTTTGAAACGGTATCCCCCCTACGCGCTGCAGAGCTATTGACTAATCTTCGCACACATAATGTTCACTCGATTGATTGCTCATCGCACAGACCGCGCCTTACGCAAGCCTTGTATCTGTGTGTACCAACCACATGCCCTACAATCGCCTGTTGTTACTTTGTCTGCCGCCCATACTGATACAGATGACTGTCTGTAAACAGTCCGCCTTCAGCAGGTGGGCATCGGAAGGCCCTCCTTAATGCACGATGATGCGAGCGCTGGCACAGTTGCGTTAAAAGTGCAGACGTTCACGTGGATACAGCATCTTACGTCGCCACTCGCTTTGCCGCAAAACCCACCTCTTCGACGTTTTCCACACCGAAGGCCGGCGGACTGAATGAAACATTAGGCTTGGCAGCTACAACCACTCTATGGCGGTTTTGCCATTGAAAACAGTCACTGACACGCCCAACTCCGAGCTGCAATTCCGTAGAAGACTAGAAACAGCCCCATCTACTCGAAGAGTCCGAGCTGTTGAACTGTTGGCTACCGCTTGACGCGGCCTATTTCCTCTTTTGGTCATTAACAAGTCCGGCCTCGTTTTCTGCACGGCATGGACTTCACGAAGGTCGACCGGATAGAAACCGAAGTAGATGTGCTTACTCGTGAAATGTTAACCGAAATTCTGAAATGCGTTTTCGACTCGGAAAGATTACTTAAATAATGTTGCAATATTAATCACCATGAAGCATAATCCCAATATAATTCAGTTATCTCACGGTGCCGGTTTTTGAATGAATTTCCGGCTGCCAGCGAAAACTGCTCTCCGTAAAGAATGACTTTTTAAGTGGTAATTATTTTTCTCGTTGATTTTCGATGTCCTTTCAAATTAAAATATATTTCATAAACTGTCCTCTTTGAATTTTACACTTAAAGAAAGGATATAATTCGGTTTTAAAAACTTTTCCAGTTCCCAAATTATTTTGAACCCGACTGACCGTTACATTTGCCCTCAGAGTTCTGAAGCCACAATCAGTATATTTTGTGCGTACAGTAGGAACCGAAACACCTGGCGAATACGAACTCTCAAAGAAGATTGGTGGTAGATACTTCTCACTGAGATGCCGGCCTTGTGATATCTGACCTCTGGCTGATTGATGCTTATTTCGAGCCTGAAAATCGGGTCACATCGATACTGTAGACTCGAAAGCAAGCTTAAACCTAGGTTGTGGCGACGGTTAACATTAAAGCCGAGAAATGTGTCTCATAACTTGTCTGACCGTTAGGTAGTTCATCTGGCGCGTGTTCCGAACACGAATCAACGGCCGCGAAACCAATCGCAGCTCATTCTGTTGCATGTTTTCGCAGTCGGTCCACACCTCTAGCTGGTCCAGGGTTTCGGTGGGACCTAGAAAGTACGCCCTGTTATACGGAGGATAGTAGTCACCAACTTGGTCAGGTGCCTTCAAAGTACACCCTCGTATGTTGTGGTCTAGGAGACGCACTTTTGCAGTCGTTCGGCTTCTCCTCCTCCTCCTTCCCCTAGTTCCACCACGTGGCTTTGTCATAAACTTCGTTTTGTCTGCCTTATTCTGTGCTTTTAATGATAGGGCGCATGAGGTCGGGAGGCGAACATGGAAGGGATATACACGGGATTTTCAATAAGAGCCATTGCTGGGGATTTTGCCTTTACCTGTTAAGGCGTGTGTGTGTGTGTTTGTACGTCTGTCAGCTTTATAGGTAGAGTCTCTCAGTCAACAACTGTCTGACTGCGCAACCTTTAGGGCCGCGTGTCACCCTAAGGGTCTGTAAGGTTGTCTTTGGGGCTCTCATGCATGCAAGGAGTGTGTGTGTGTGTGTGTGTCCTTAATAGGTAGTGCCTTCAGTCGATGATTGACTGGTTACCCATCTTTCGGAGGGTGATGGGCCGCTTGTCACCCTTCTTGGCCTCAAGGAATGTGAGTGTCTGCTATGCTGGAATGAGCAGACCACGGCCCTCGAAACCTGGTACGCGCTGGCAGTTCTTTGTCCCTCAGCTTCCAGGCGGTATATGCGCTTGAGAATGGCCGCCCAACCATCCTCGTATTGCCAAACAATTGTGATGCTGTTGTTGGTTAACATCCTGGTTAAGTATTTGTTGTGGACTAGGGGGTGTGGAGTGGGGTGCCGAGGTGCAGGCTCAGCCGCGCCATCCGCTTGCGCCCCCCCCCTCGCCTCCGATCTTCTTGACTCTGTCTTGACAGTGGGTCCACGTGCGGAGTGGGGAAGAGAGTGCAGCAGATGCTGCGCAAGTCGACTATCACAATAAACTAATTCACACGCATATGTCGCCGTCCCTGCAGTGGGACACACGGTCGGCAGCGACGGTCGAATTGTCGTACGTCTGTTCGCAACGAGCTTTAATCTCGCCCTCACCTCCGGATGATGCCTGGCCAACCTGGCGTAAACATCGGCTGACTCCTAACCGCAAACTTTTATCTGAAACTCTGCAGTTGTGATTACGGGCCTGTCGCCTTATATGCGGTTTTTTTATATGTGAAGTGTTATTTCTACAAGTATTGCGAGCCCTAGATTAACCAGAAAAAAAAACTATCTTGCACGTCAATCTTACAGCGATGAGTGTTGTTCAAACAAACCACAGTGACATCTGGGACTCCAAACACATACTGACTTAGCAGATTGGAATGCAAACCCGATCTGCTCTTGCCATTCACATAAACGATGAAAAATGAAAGCTCACAGGGATGCCAAGCGAACTTTTGAAGTGTAATTTCTATTAGAAGCCACCACCTGGGCGTGGTTGTGCTATTGTTTATCTCAGGGTATTTCGAATGCACCTCTTCCCCGCCGTCTGTGAAAATATTAGTTGAAGTGACTGCAGCCGCGTGTTCGGTCATTCGCGTTCTGCGCAGTGCGGATAAATGACGTCAGCTCACAAGTTGCGGCCCACTTGACGAGATCCAGCCACACGCTCAAATTCGACGAGGTCGAAATTCTTTCTATAAGTGACAGTCATGTGAGCCGTGGGCTGTTGGAGTTATGATTCACAGTGCAAAACCTTCCTCTTCCATACTCGGTGCTGAGACTTCGCCTAGACGGAGTAATTAGCCAGTCAGGGAGCGCACAGGTAAACACTGTTCCCACCGCCAGGGTCGTTGTGTCAGATGGTCGGTCGACCAATCATCACACCGACACCCAACACCCGTGATGAACTTGCAACGATTAGCGACGTGAAGGTCGGCCATCGAACGGTCATCACACCAAGTGCAACAATCCCCGATAAGGGGGGAGCCGTGAGTTTTCATTGGTAGGCGGTAGAATGGTGACTGCATCTTACAAATACTACAGCCCTATTGTGCATGAACTACCTCGATCTGCTTCTATCTCTGATGATGAGTTCGAACAGGAATCCGAAACGACAGGCGAATAAAGCTCTTGTCCCAGCGATTGCGTCTCCTTCACGACTAAAGGATACCTTTTTTCCAATACGAAACTGAGAACGCATCATGTTCCTCAATAAGAATACAATAAAGCCTTTTTCTGGGGCAGTCTTTCTATAAAGTATGCTTGTATTGATAAGGACATCAGTTAATGAGGGTCAGAGAACAAAAGTCATAACACTTAGATTGTTATCTTTTGTCGAGTGGGATTTTGTGGGCGTTCGAAAGCCGACAGTCTAACATGCAACATACTGACAGTTTGACCGCAGCAGGGCGACTGCGAGCACGGTGACTTGCACAGCGCCCACCGCAAGCTCCCCTCCTTCCCCCCCCACCGAAAACAGGGCGGTGATGCGGACCCCATTGGGCGCAACCTGAGCCGGCTCATTGGCGTGCCACTAAATCCCCAATTCCGACATTTGTCATGGATACGCATCTCCCACGACGCCTGTCGGACTCCACACAACTACTACTTTCTGACAAAAGTTACACTCCAAAATTTTTATGGCTCACGCAACCTAATGACAATAATTTATCTTTCAATCGAGTCTAATGGTATGTCGCTGAGCGTCGAATATTTACTTTCATTGCACTCAGTAGAAAACAAACAAACAGATTTTTCTCTAACCTGATATTATTAGAACAGGTAAGCAACAACATGCGCATAGTTTTCTATACGGAAATAAAAACTTTAAAAGAATGTCATTTTGCCCTGTAACTACTCACCATCATGATCTGCGACCCCGCCCATATGAAATAAAGTTTGGAAAGTTTTATTTTTTGGAGTTGAAAATACACCGATTCCCGCTTTCACTTCATCTAGCCCGGACACACCTAAATGGATAAAGCAGAAGGCTGGTCGGGCATCAGAGAGATTTGTTTATTACTCTGAGCTTTCAAACTCGGACAGGAGTCCATCGTCAGAGATAGCAGCAGTAATGGCATTCCCTGTTCTGACTGTCCGTTTAACTACGCAGGTCAACCGCACACATGTTCCGATTGCGCATGCACGAACATAAGCTGGCTATGCGACGACACGACGAAATACCGCAAGTGGCTGGCCATAACTACGAAACGGCAGCCGTCAGCATGATCGCCCACGCCGGAAGCAAGGCGAGTCGAAACCTGGCCTTCGGAAGAGAACTCAGTAATTCTGTGTATAGATGTGGCGCGACATACAGAGCCCTGTGCGGTCGTCTCCAGACCTGTGTAATTAATCGTTGATTGGCCAGTGACCCCTATAGCTGTCGCTTGTTCTATTGCTACAACTACCTCTGGCGATGGCCTCCTGTAGCAGTTTAAAAATTCAGAACAGTAATAAAAATTGTACCAGTGCTTGACCAGTCTCCCTCTTCCATCATACATACATACGTCCGGAATTCGGACATTCGCCTTCAAACACTTGCATCATTGACTGTTAGTTATTATAACAACCGTCCGCCGTATTACAACTTGCCAGGCGGACAAGTCGACGAATGTCACCCTTCCGATGCCGTGAAATATCCATCGGGAGATATGCATGCCGCGCGGTATGGAAACTCGCATTTCCAACAGGAAATGCAGGGTGGAATCTCTTTGATGCAACAGCATTCTAAACGGTGAAATCCGCCCTTACTGGCAGCCACGCGGGAACAATCATTACAAATCTGATTTGATTATTCGCCAACACTCAGGCGTGTTGAGTCTTATCTGGGTTCGTTGTTGGCAGTCATGCGAAGATGGGTCACCAGTGACCGAAAATAGCCAAATATAACTATTCCAGTTACGAAAATTTCCTTCCATCTTAGGATTAGGAGGTATGCGGACGTGAGACGTTGTTTTGGGGTAGGTGTACTTGCTCATTCCTGGCAGATCGGTGAACCAAAATCTTGTGTAGTCACCCGATTGTCTGGTGGTTGCATCCGTTCATCTCTCCGTCACGCAAGAATCCAGATTGCAGTTGACAAAACCGTACTTCACGACTTTATCGTTTGCTTTATCGTAAAACCGCCTTGACCTTGACCTTTGACGGGTCAGTGGAGAGTCACGGTGCATATTCCGCAATCGCGGTTTCATCAAAACCAGAAGCCTAATTATTCGATAGGCAGCATTCACTGGGTGTCTTTTCACGATTCGACATCTGGAAATGCTTTGAGAGGTCCGCAATAGACGAGAATCGGCGGAATTGCAGCAGTTGGCTCCGATCTCTCAAATGATCTGACTCAGGAGTACTTTCAACCCCTTTTCGCCCTCACCCCACACTTTCCAATATCTCCTTCATCGTGTTTTGTTTTCCATTCTGCTCAAAACAACAGGATGGAAGTAATCAGTCAAATGACATCATCCGGGTAAAGGGAGTGACCAAACGCTATCCCCGGAAGAAGCTGCCCGCCGTGGACGATCTCACCTTCGGCGTGCGTCCCGGAGAGTGCTTCGGCCTGCTGGGTGTGAACGGAGCCGGTAAGACTACCACCTTCAACATGCTCACCACGTCCATCAAACCGGACAGGGGAGAGATCTGGATCAACGGATGTAACCTGGAGACCGATGCTCACAAGGCTCACGCCCAGATTGGATACTGCCCACAATTCGACGCCCTGCACCCCCACCTGACTGGCTACGAGACTCTCCAGTTCTATGCTCGCATTCGCGGCTTTCCGGAGAACGAAATCAAGCCTATCGTAGACGCTCTTATTGATCACATGTCACTGAGACCCCACGCAGAGAAGAGGGCCTCCGCCTACTCGGGCGGCAATCTCCGCAAACTGTCCACTGCCGTGGCCATCCTCGGCAATCCTCGAGTGCTGCTACTGGACGAACCCACCAGTGGCATGGACCCCGGCGCCAAGCGTTACCTCTGGGACGTGCTGAAGTCTCTCCTGCGCGACAACTGCTCCATCGTGCTCACTTCGCACAGCATGGAGGAGTGTGAGGCGTTGTGCAATCGGGTGGGCATCATGGTGGCTGGACAGTTTCAGTGCTTCGGGACTGTGCCCCGACTGAAGGAGCGCTTTGGTGAGGGCTACATTGTTGAGGTGGATGTACGCGCACCGGCAGCGCGGGTGACTGAGAGCCTGCGCGTCGCCCTGGGCGAGGAGAACGTGCATCTGACGGAGTCCGTGGGCCAACGACTCACTTTCCAGGCCAGCACGCAGGTGCCTCTGGCAGACCTGTTTAAACAGCTGGTTGCTGTGCGCAATGCCGGCGAAGTGAAGACCTTCGCGGTGCGACAGGCCTCACTGGACTCTGTATTCGTCAATTTTGTCCGCAAACAGACGGAAGCCAAGGCTGCCGCCCTGGCGGAATTGACGGACGAGGAGGAGGAGATGCAACAGAATGGCCAGGACGGTGACATCTTCGACTGGTACGAAAACAGCGATGAGGTGTCGGGGCAGGATGGCCATGAGAGATGGATTGATTTCTAATAATGTGCTTTTTTATGAAAAATGGCCCTAAACCACTACCATCCTGCACTTTCTCTCCTACCACGACCGTGAACCAGTCCAAGACACAGAGCCCAGTCCACTTATTTTAACACTGGACCCCTCCCCCGTCCGCTTAAAATCATGACTTCTAATTCTTTTTTGATCTGAAGTTGCTAACATTCTTTCTTATTTGCTATTTTTTATACCTTTTATGAATCACACTTTGACGCAAGAGAAGAGGATAATTGTCTGGAAAAGTGTACCTTATGCATTCTCTCGCTTCATGGTCTTTTGTTCTGTGGAGTTGTTGGGTGACTGAGTGATAACTGAAGTAAAACATACGGGCAGGTAGATAATTAAGCTGCAGCTCGGGTTGGGGGGGGGAGTGGGAGAGTAAAACACCACGATTCCAGTCAGCGCCAGAGAGAAGATGGGTACCGGCGAATGTAATTACATGTGGGTGGCTGGCTTGGTGTCTTTGAACCATGGCAACTGTAGGACCTGTATGAAGTGCTTCTGTGCGCATAGGACCGGTCCGCGTGGCCTGATTGCAGCTGCTTCTGCTGTAGGCAACAAGCCCTGTCCAAGTAGTTTTGGATAGTTTGATGGGATCTTGTAAATCCCTCTGAAGGCCTCTCTGGCGTCTACACGGCGGTCTGTGTCTACCATGTGCGCGAGGGTCGAGCTGTTTATGTTTTTTATTTGACCCTTTCCTAACCATGCTGGGAGATGTTCTTTTATTATTTTGGATAAACGCCGGCTCGTGCGACCAATATATTCTGTTCCACAGGAGCAGGCGACGGAGTAAATACACATAGATGTGGTCTGAGCTGGTAATTTGTCCTTACCCTTTCCGTATAGGATGGGACTGGTGGATAACAGTGCACGGATGTCAGCTGCTGGAAAGGTCTGTGATACAGCTTGAGTTAGGCGTCTTCTTAAAAGTTCACTTGAAATGGATCCCTGATGAAGAGTCTTTTCTTTCCTGCCGTCAGTATCTGGGGGCTTTTGTGGTCTATCGGTCATGTTCTTGTCAATGAATCGACCAGGATACCCGTTCTGGCGAAGAAGGCTTTTGATTATCTTAAGCTCTTTCTCAACACTATCAGCTGAGCAGATTCTTCTCGCTCTTTCTGTCAAATAGCGGATTAAATTGCGTTTAACTTTTAGCAGTACGAAACACCCAAAATGAGTGTATTGTTCGGACCACGTTTTCTTGCGACAGACGCTACGTTGAATGCTGCCGTCAGGCCTTCTACTCAGAAGCACATCCAGAAAGAGAAGTGAACCTGACTGTTCCTGATTTATGTCATCCATTAGAACTGAGATGTCACTTTGCTATTTTTTATACCTTTTATGAATAACCCTTTGACGCGAGCGAGGAGGATAAATGTTTGGACAAGTTTATCTTAAGCATTCTCTCGTTTCATGGTCTTTTGTTCTGTGTAGGTGTTGGGTGGCTAAGTGATTACTGTTTAACGGACCGGAGTTTCGGCTTTTCACTTTGACAGTCTGAGCACGGAGTTGACGGCGGAGGAGCTGTCGGAGTAGGGGCGTTGGAGAGCGTAAGCCGAAGTAGGATGCTGAAATAGTTAGTGGGAAAGTAGCCAAAGATAAAACGGAGAAGGGCAACTTGTTGTTTCGGTTTAGAGGTAAGGTTGGTTTCAGGGTCTGGGTAAGTGTCAGGCTGAGAATTGAGTTTGGGGTTAGGGCTTGTGTAAAGTTTAAGGGTTCCTGTTAGAGCTAGGGTTTGGAGTGAGATTTGGGTTTACGATTAGTGTTAAGGTTGAAGTTAGTGTGAGGGTAGGGTTACGACCAAGGTTGGGTTTTTGCCCGGATCGCCAAAACTGCCCAGGGCTTCGGTCGGTTGTAATCCAGTCTATGGAACAGTCGAGACATCTTTAGGTAACGGTAGGGGGTGGGACTCCACTTAACTACCGGTAGACTGTAGATCATGTCATACGGTAATGGTAGTGACGTAAATGGCAATGTTCTCACGAACTAACGAGTTATATCCCACGAGCCCTTAGTATGAAAGGCAGCAAGTAAAACCGACCAGTGAATAATATAGAAATCCTGAACGCTAAGATACCTGACAACAGAGCGTGACAGCCAAGCAGGCCAGCAAAGTGGGTTTTCAGGTGCATCGTTTTTCGTCACATTCAAACAAGCCAGACAGTATGCGACAACGGTCTGTTACGCTCTCCTGGTTCCAAGTGTAATCACAATGTGATTGGGCAAATTAGGAGAAAATTAGGGGAACGCACTGGGCAGGTTTCCGTAGGTTGGATTTTTGCTTGCAACAGAGATAAGCGTCCGTTCACGGAGAGCGTCAGTCGAGGTGAGTAGTTTACGCGGGGGGTGAATGTCTGTGGCAGTAGGTGGGGGTGACTGGCTGAGTGCCGGTCATGAGATTGGACGGATAAGGGGACGCATAATCACAGGGGCTCACGGGTATCAAGCCAGGTCGTTCGACGAGCGTGAGGTGATACTATAGTTTGTGAGGGCAGCCGGGAGTCACTACAGCTGAACAGGAGGGGTCCCAGTTCTAGCCGGCGGGGTGGTTGTGCGTCACCGGCCTATCAACGACTGTCGTGGCCATCGACCGAAAAAACGGAGTCAGAGAAAAGGGGGACTGAAGGGGCTGCTAGAGGTTTTCCTCAAGGAGGGGGAAAATGTTTTCGCTGTGTCTCGCAGATCAGATCCAGCCAAGAGGGGTTCCGAGCTGGAGGTATGTGCCCAGATCAGATATTCACAATGCGCCACATCCTTGAATTCTAGAATGGCTACCATCACCCACCGGCCGCCTCCCTCGTTGACTTGGTCGCTGCGTTGGATTCCGTCAATCATATGTTCCCGTGGCAAATAATGGAAGTAAATTATGTCTTGAGAGAACTAATCGTCAAAACATAGAGGTGGTTCCTTAACCTGCTGTAGCCCTTTCTTGTTCACTGGAAGTGCGAGTAGGACGAACTCTTTAGATTCACTGTCACAGATTGTCATGCATGTACATATATATGAAATTCGTAACAGCATCGAGGCCGGGCTAGACCGGACGTGATCACAGATGTAAAAAGTACTGGTACTGACCAAATCTAGATGAAACCTTTCAACACAGTTCCTTCTACGGGTTCCGGAGTTATCTGGGACAAAGATGTTGTATCACCTTCGACAGATCAGTCACGTCAAGGAGTCCTCACAAAATAGTGAGTAGAAGGGCGGTTTACCTGAGTTCTGAAAAATCAAACTACCTGCCTAGGATCCCCCCCCCCCCCACCAAAGATCTGGCTGACAGAAAACCCCAAATACAACGATAAAACTAAACGCAACCTCAGGACCAAAACAGATCCTTAGCGTAGTAATAAACCTAACGTTAGTCCTGAACTTAACCCTAAACCTATCACAAACCCCAGCCCTTGTCCTAAGTCTAACCTCAACCCCGACCAAAATTCATACCCTAGCCGTAGCCCAAACCCTAACCTCAACCATAACCCTAACTCTTACTTTAGCCTTTACTCTACCCTAGCGCTAACTCCATCCCCAACCTTAACACTAAGCGTATACCAAAACCGCAATCCAAGCCCAAACTCTGACCGGAACCCTTATACTTAAGACAAAACTTTGACCCTTAACTCAATTCTCGGCCTGACACTAACCCAAGCCCTAAAACTAACCCGGAAGGATGTGGTTATGTCGCCTCATCTGATGGACACAATACTGTTAGGGGTTAGGGTTAGGAGTTAGGACAGTTATTTTTCAACCACTAAAAGTACAACCGCGCATTCCCAATAGCTTTTCTTCTGCATACAATGCCTTGACATAGCCGCCTACGAGTTCCCCGGCCCCACCTGTCAAAACCCCTATCACCACCGGTCCCGTAGTACAGGTGGCTGAGGTTTGTTTGCCTCATTCTACATAACCGCATCTGACCACTTACCCTATCTTTAAACCAAAACATCAGGTTGTCCCTTTCCGTTCTATGTTTGGCTACTTTCCCAGTAACGATTTCAACATCCTCCTCCGTCTTAATTTACTTGCAGTGCCCACACTGCGCTGACACTTGGGATCAGGGCAGCGCGTAACCGGCCCCTACCTAGATTTCAGAAGTTTAAGGGGTCAAAGCACTAGTTCGCAAAGCTGAAAGTCACTGTTGCACGGAACGCCTTTTGTCTTGTTAACAAGATGCCCGACGGCTGGAAGAAAGGAAATGCTTTGTCCAGATTCTACGACTGTATGAGTCCCCCCCCCCCCCAGTTGCGGTTCATGGTGTACGTTGCAGTACCTAGATGTAAGCTACTGACTTCGTCTGCCGTACGAACTTGCACTTTATGCGTTCAAATCGATTTCCTGGTGGCCGGCCCGAATTTGTTATTGCGGCGATTGGAGGGAGGGGGGGGGGGTGACTTAACGAATATTGCACATTCCGTTTACAGGTCTTGACAACAATACCTATGCCGCCAAACTACAGAGCGTTTGTGATCTGCCGCCTCCAATGCGGATGAAAACAGAACCGGAGACGGAAACTACCTAGATGCAGTTAACTCGAATCCCGTCTAAACAAATGTGTGAACGCATTCTGTCTGACCTGAAGTCAAAGTCTGAACTGCCACAAATAGTAACCTTGATGGCCCCATTTGAGAGATTTAGACAGCCATAGAACCGTGACCTAGAAAACTCGTCCTCCAATAGCCAAAATGTCCGATTAGTATGTGTATTCTGAGACTTTCAGCGATTCGGAAATGTTCATGTCCATTCCAGTCTCCGTTGTATTTGTCGGTAATAACATTCTGCCTATATCATGCGCCGCTGTGCGGCTGCTGGTTGGGCTCGAGAGAGAGAGAGCCCGTAGGGCACAACGGAACGAGTGAGTTCCGTAAGAACAATCGGTGAGCGTCTCGACCATCACTAAGATATTTTCAATTTGAAATCTCTCAGGTAGTTTGATTTTTCAGAGCACTGCTTTCCTATTACTCAAGTTAATCGCCCTTCTACTCACTCTT